TTTTTTCTCCATACAGGTGATCCAGGTGTTTTGTTTGTTTTTCTTTCTTTCTTCCCCCCTTTCTCACCGTCTCTTCTCCCCTCTGGTTTTCTTTCTCTCCCTCTGGTTTTCTTTCTCTCCCTCTCTTTCTTTCATTCTTTCTCCCTGTCCTATCCCCCAGTCATGTGGGGATAATAATAAAGGTCAATCAAATGGACCAATGTGGCAAGGCCATGATGATCCACTTGGTAAAATAAATCTGCTTGGCATCTTTCTTGGCCTTAGGACAACAATTCTGATGGCTAAAGATCCAAACGGGACACACACACAAAAAAAAATTTTATTTTAATTTTAACTTTTAATTCTTTTGTTACACAGAGCCAGAATTTTGAGATTTTTGAGCAAGTCCAAAGACAGTGCAAGTAGGACCCCACCGCAGATTTACATTTAATACATTGTGCAGACCTGCTCAGATCAATTTTATTCAGAAAAATAGGCGTTCTATACTGTCTATGTAAAAATTTATATTTTGTTTCTTTAAATCTGTTACTAAGAAATAAAGAATGCACAGATTGTATGCACTTACTCCAGGCATGATCATCACAATGACACTGGAGGTCACCCTCCCAACTCCTAATCAGTTTTCCAATATTATGTTTGTTATAACCTTCCAGTGTATTGTAAAACTGTGTTATAGTACTATTATCTGCATTTAAGTGTAAAAAGAAATTTTCCATGGGTCCTAGTTGCATTGTATTGTGAAAAGTATCAAAACTTGAAGTAATTAGGTGACGAGCCTGTAAAAATGCAAAAAAATCCATTTGATGTATTCCATATTTTTTTTGGACCTGCTCAAAAGACATACAGACATTCCCATCAAAGAGATCACCCACCACACGTATTCCTGCACCAAACCATCTCTGAAATATTACACTTTTCATTCCCGGTGTAAAGTGCTGATTATTTATAAAAGGTGTTAGATAACTTAAACCATCCAGGTTTTAACTTTGTCAAGACATTTGACTAGCGATTCCATGGGCGTGGAGGTGTTTCTATTAAACCGAAGATAAATCTGGGTGTCGTCGGCATATGAGTGAAAGCAGATGTTATGCTTCCTAAAGAGTAGGCCTAGGGGCAACATGTAGATTGAAAAAAGAATTGGGCCTAATACGGAACCCTGCGGGACACCACAAGTAAAAGGAGCTGGGGAAGGAATAAAATCATCAAGGCTCACGGAAAAAGTCCTCTCGGAGAGGTACGACCTAAACCATTCCAAGGGGATACCTTTGATACCACATTGCTCCAAATGGGAGATCAGAATGCTGTGGTCAACAGTATCAAAGGCTGCAGTTAAGTCTAGGAGCAGGAGCACAGCTGGGTCTCCTTAGTCAGTGATTAATAAAATATCATTAAGTATTTTTAGGAGGGCAGTTTCTTTGCTGTGGTGGGTTTTGAAGCCCGACTGGAATTTCTCAAAAATATTATGACTATTTAGAAAGGTTTGTAGGTCAGCTGTTAGAAAAGGCCGGGTTAAAACTAAGTGGTCAGGAAACCGATCAAAAGTCTTTGATGTGTGCACCAGAGGTCATGTTTAAGTTTCCTGAGTAGAAACACTTTTGTACTCCTACCAGCTGTTGTCCGCAGATAAATCCTTTGTCATATCAAGACATCTTGGTTCCAAGCTCGTCACTGCAGGCAAATCGCAGATGGAGCTGCAGAGCTCCAGCTGCCTGCCTGAACCAGATATGCAGGGAAGATTGAACTCACTCTTCCCTCCATATCTGGTTAAGTTTTACATTTTAAATATTATACATAAACTTGAAAAATAAATTCTCATTAGCAGAGAGCATTTGGGAATCACCGAAGTATACATTTGCAGCCATAACAACACTAAACCATAAGGCTTGTTGCCGTTGCACATTGCACTTTGTTGATGATAAAATTTGGGCTGTGGTGTTTGTTTGTTTTTGTCTCTCTGTGTACGGACAGACTGCAAATCAATTTCCCATTGTTGACAATAAAATTACCATTGACCATTGATAACTGCCCCATGAACTGCAGACTGCAAAAAGAAAAGATATGAACATTAGGATTGAAGTGTGCTGCTTGTTGCATTAATTACTGATTTTGCATTAATGCATTGATTTGATGAGGGTTAAGCATGTTTTAGAAAAAACTGACACTTTCATACTTTGAATCATGGAGCAGAGGTTACCAAACCTCACTGACTCCTTCCCAGTAAGAAATCACAAACAGAGGCCTCAAGCAGTGGGATTTGATGCTGCAGTAGGAGCACTGTGAGCACAGGAGGTGTGTACAGTCTGACTGTGCACAACGCCTGTGTTCATACAGAACCACTTCACCATTTCCTTCCTTCTTCCTTGAAGAGTAAAACTGACAACGTGGGCTCACTGATCAGCAGAACTCAAGATGTCTGACGAGGGCTGACATGTTCTGTTGTAGCAGTGACTGAGCTGTTTCTTGTTCTCATGTGTTTCAGGCTCAGCTGTCCAGATCTCTTCTAGCCGGACGCAGAGACACCGGGACAAATTGTCTGTCTGATGTGGACAGCAACACACACTGCAGCACAGCCAGCAGGTGGACAGAGACACACACCACTGTTACATATCTGTACTGCATCCACTCTCTCAAAACATGTTGTGTTTTTTCCTTTAGTAGAAGGCAGCAGGCGGAGCACAGTGATGATGATGATGATGATGTCATAGATGATGTCGGCAGACTTCCAGATGCCGTGGGTTAGTGGTGCTTTGACTTCTACAACAGACATGCAATACAACAGGGTCGTAGCTAAAGTGGGTCTGGGGTGCCACTCGCCCGAAACTGTGCTGTCAAGTCATGTGCAGTCATGGCTACATACAGGGTGGACAATGGATCTAGGTTTACTTGTGTTCACTTATTGTTTTTACCTTTTTTAGAATGCATGGTGTCTCACTCAGTGGCGTGTCTAGAAAATTTTTACCTGGGGGGCCAGGTAGGGGCACAGATTTGGAGAAGGGTGGCAGATGTAATTGGCAGATAATGTTAAAAACAATTCTACCAACCGTTAACCATAATTCAATAACCCTATAAACCTAATAACCGAATGCGCTTTTAGCTCTTATTAGAATGAGATTTTAACCACTACGGTGCAAAGTTTTTAGATACTGCGTTGATAAAGTACAAGAGATACAATCAGTCAGTGTTTATTCAGCAGTCAAGGGCATCAATATTTGCATAGTATTTTTACTGACATGTAGTGCACATATGTTT